TTCTATCGATAAACCTATGATCTCTTTTTCTTTTATTCAAAGGTAAAGGAGAAATAAAACAGATTCGTTCCAACTAGTACAGGGGAACGAGTATCGTTATAATGAGGTTGAATGTGTCCTTCCACCCCCCTCCCTCGTTTATAAATTTTGGACCACTCGTCCACCCCCCTCCCCCGTTTATAAATTTTGGACCACTCGTCCACCCTATTCGATACCTTAGAGTGAGTAGGCTATTGTTGAGAGAATTCGACCTATGAGGCCAAGGCTACCAGACACTAAGCCATACCCTCCCTCTTTGGCCATACCTAAGAATAAGATGATAGTACATGTACAATGTACGGATCTTTGTTACGGAATATCAGCAGCTCAACGCTATCGCATTTATTTTTTTTTACTTTTACGGATGGAGTTTATGATGATGGAGGAGCAAGTACGGATTTCCGTTTAAAAAGTAAATAAAATTAAAACAATTTTTTTTAAATGAAATGGAAGACTGGAAGCACTGGATTGTATGCTCCTGTCTGTGAGCTCTGCACTGTGTTTGGGCATGGAATTTTTAACATTAGTATGAGAAACAAATCAGGAAGAGGAGAATCTTTAAATCCCAAAGAAGCAGATGGGAAACAAAGCTACCCCAGCACACTATACTTACCTGAACGTGTTCCAGAGTAAGAAAGAGGGGGACAAAGGGGGGGAGAGAGGTAGAAAGAGAGAGAAAGAAAGAGAGAGGGGATGGGGGTAGTGGGGAAGGGAGTGTTCATGTGTGTAAGGTATACCAATACAACATTCCCATAGCCCCTTTCATGTGCATAGGCATAGGATTGACACATTAATATAATGACTACTTAGAAAACAAAGCATGTTCATGACTATCAATGTGAGCAACTGCTCCTCTGAACACATATTATCAAGAAAATCATGGCAAAGTTGATTCAGTAAAATTTTAGAAAGCCAACATAACTTAGACAGGGTAGACTAAGAATAAGGCAGAAACTAAAATAAAGAGTGCTTTGAGGAAAGAGTGATGAGCAATTTTCTGATCTTAAAAAGACATTGTATGAGTATGAGGCTGTGCTGTTATTTTACTATTGAAACCACTATATTTCTAAACAAAGTGCCATGTGAATGAGCACAAGGCAATGCTTACTCTTTACACCACTAGCCGTCTGACGATTATCAAGAATTTAATGAGTTGAAGGAGAAGGAGAACCTTTAAGTACAGCAAAAGCACAATAATAAGCATTTTTCTTTTCCTCTTTGAAGTCTTCATACAATTAGAAGAACGGGTCAATATGAATTCACCTAATTTAAGAACACTCATGTCTTACGTCATTAATAAGCTGGGTTGTGTTTTTCCTATGAGAAGTAGCTAGATAAAATATCACTCTTAATGAATCAAACAATGCACATGATTATTCTTTTATTTGGGAAATTTACTTTTTTACCCAATAATTAACAAGAATTCTCTTAGTACATTAATTACTTTGTTGAGAACCGTAAAAAAAAAACTAAATTGAACAGAACAACGGATGGGGCAACAGAACTCAAACAAAAGATCAATACTCATGCCAACAGAATGAATCCAATAACAGATAAACACTTAAGACATAGCCATTTCCATTTATAAAGATAAATAAATGTCTTCCAGTAGAGTATCAATCGAGTATTCCTTATAATCCTAACTATTACAGAACTGTGTTGATTAGGTTTAAGAGCAGAAATTTTGCTTCACCTTTACAGTAATTACAGTATGATTTTGACAAAACACATGAATGAAACACTAACAGCAATGGAGTAACAACAAGAAAGAGGGTAACAAAAGTTTGTCAGGAGACAGAGCATATATCATGAATTTTATTGCATCGTTTAACATAATGAAAGTGTACACAACCATCGTACACACTGAAACAGACACTTGCATAATATTATTAATATATTATGTGAATCTGAGGAACTATAGCCTTCATATTATAATGAAACAATAAAACTACAGCTTTAATTAAACCAATGCTTCAACATTAATGAAAAATAAGGGAATGAGTATCTGAGATGCACTTTAAAAAAATGAATTCATTGAAATAATTTAAACACCTCATTTCTCCCAACAACAACAAAATTCTAAGAATTAGTCATAACAAAAATATATTAGATGGCTTGTTCACCAGCCCAATATCAACCAGAGCAGTGGGGAAATTTCCAGACTGGTAACAGGCATCTAACAATACATTATCAAAATTCACTGGCTGACAAGTTAAAAAAAGAAAGGGCTAAATGCCATGTAGGAACAGTACCATCAGGTAATACCATGCAAAACAAAAGAACAAAGAACAAATGTTAAGTAGTGTGTATAGTTACCACACTGTTGTTTCTCCACTCACTCTTCATGTGCACAATAAATACCAACTCTACACTGACTAGCACAGCATGTAATATTTCTTTCATAGCACAAAGGACACAGCAAGAAAACTAGAATTAAAAATATAAAACCCCGGAACTGGGGATAAAACATACTGAAATAAATAAAACGAAAAGAGAAAGAAGGCATTTAGAATAGAAAAGGAGGACAAACAAAACAGACGTTTCAAAATAATTAGACCAACCCAACTTTCCCCTCTCACGACCCTTTCATCAAAGCACAATAAGTGACAAGTCAAAGGACAACACTTTAATTTCATTCATCTTCTCACTCAAAACACCCAAAAAAAACAAAAAAGCAAAATTGAAACAACAAAACTAGTAAAAATGACGTAGCATCTGGAAAAAGATTTCTATTTTGCCGCTGATCAGATTTATCATTAGATCAGAAAGAATAAATAGTAAAAACGTAAGTTTAACATTCAGTTTTACAAACTTAAAAGGGGAATTTATATATCGACTGCTCAGTGCAGAGTAAGACTCCACGATACACCATTTTGAAAAGTGATGTATGACAGAGTCTTATACTGAGTGAACAGTCGAACATGTATTCATATATAAATAAAAGAGCTTTCAACTAAACCTTGGAAAGAAAATATATAAAAATAAATGAATGAAACAGTATTCATACAAAAATGATGTGAAAAGCAAATTATTTCCTTCAAAATTCCACACTTCATTATTCAATCACACATCAAAATAAATATCGCACGTCAATTTGACTGCAAATATAAATCATTCATATAGCAACAAACTACAGTATAACATGGATAGCTTCAATTCGCCGGGACCGGCCATGGTAGTTCGAGGATATAAACAAGAAAAAAAACCGGGACCGCAGGCAGTTTGATTGATGTGTGAATTCGAGTCTTCTGTGTTCAACCTATTCGTATTATACTTTATCCAAAGAAGTCAAATCTACATCTTTTATGAAAAGAATGTTTTGATCTGGTACCTGTAGAGCAAAAAAAATCTTAAGACAGCGCTAACCAATCAACTTTTGAAATTATGTCATCTTCCAATTCAAATTCAAGAGGATCATCTTCCATTGCCAGATCTGCGACAGACACCGGCGATCATGGTTCTCCATTTTCTTTGCTCCGACGCGCTTAAAAAAGCTACGTTTCCCTGATCTTTCCATGTTACCCATTTGTTTAGGTTCCCTAAGTAGGTTGCTCTGGGCCTACCTTGCCTCGTTTGCCTTCAATTTTGCCAGTGAGAGCTAGATGTTCAAGACCCTTTTATGTCTATTCAGGTGTCCCAAAAAACTGCATATGTCGTTTCCTGATTGCTTTTAACAGTGAGCGTCCCACAGGGGCTTCATCAAGCACTACCTCATTTGATTTCTGTTCCTTCCATGATATTCTCAGCAGTCTCCTAATAAACCCCATTTCTGTTGCTTCTATTTTATTTTCACCGTCTTTAGTGATTGTCCAGCATTCCCAGCCATACATAGAAGGGTTGACCATACATAGCATTTCAGAATTTTCATTTAGGTAGTCATTGAGATGTTTCAAGAGGACACAAGATTAAAAAATTAAATTCTTTCAATCGCTTGACAAGAAGAGCTTCGTAAGTACAGACCTGAATAAAAAGTATACGGTAACTTTTCCTCTGGGCTTCCTTCATCATTACGACTATGAACCAAAATTAATGAAAAAATTAGTCAAAAGAAAATGTTCTGAAATTCTATTTCAAAGTCTCAAATGGCAAACACCTTTCACAACAAAAATGTAAGTAGAACAGGAGAGATCCATCTCACTGAGCTGTACTCCAGGATGAAGTCCAAGGACAAGGCTTGGCATCCAAAGACACTCACCATGTTTTACAAGACAAATGTAAAAAGAAAAATCCCTTTAGTTTTTAAATCCATATTTAGATTTGTAAGATTCAACACCAGCTGCTCCTGCTCCCTGTTCAAGTCAAAGAAATAGTCAAATCCAATAATCTAACCACAGCAAAAGTGAGCATGCTCTTCATAAACTAAACAACATCATGTAGAAGCTGAGTATGTGAAACTTTTCCACTGATGGCTGAAACCCCCCAAAAAATTGTGCGCCTACATTATACCGAACAGAGTGGAAAAACTTTCCTCAACTATACTTGAGGGCATATGAAGCTGATATCTTGAAGTGAGGACCTTTCATACTTGGCTTAACATTGAAATTATCCATTTGGTGGTATAGAAATTGAAAAAAAAGATCCAAAGCTCATATTTTTTACAGTCCTTAGCCAACAGAGGCAAATAATGATCGCAAAATGATAAAAATGACAAAAATTCATCAATTGAGAAGTTTTTTGCTCAATTAATTTTACACCAATCTTCAAATTTTGTGAGTACATAAAACAAACTAAGATCTAAATTCGTATAACATAGATTTCCAATTAAAGCAATTTCAAAGATTTTACGGCTTCTACACCTTAGTGTACCCACAGTAATGACAATTTAAGGGGGGAGGGCTGTTAAAAAATATTTTTCTTAAAAAGTACTTTACAAATCAAATTCCCGGTTGTATGGGATGAGCACAACATCATAATAGACCTGTGTACAAAGTTTCATCCAATTTGGTTCACAAATAATTGAGTAATTATAATACGAATTTCTGTGGAAAAAATGTGCGCAATGAGAAAATCACAAAAAAAAACTACCAAAAAATCTTATTCACTCACAATTTCTCCATATTTTGTTCCCATGCTTTCTAGTGTGCTGTCGATTCCGGAAATGCAAAAAGCGGAAAATGAGCTAAAGACCAATACTAAACACCTCGGAGAAGGATGCAATGTGTTGTTTGAATTATGACGTTACTTGGTTCAGTTTATGAGTCGGTTTTTTAACAAAACACCAGAGGAAAGACCTATATCTACATAAAAGGCAATTTATGTCAGGAAGAGAACTTTCTTTTGTATAATAACTGATCATTATGACAACGTGTAGAAATGGTAGAACAATCGAAATTCACCAAAATCGAATATTTGATTTTTTGTTCTAGTAAAGATTTTATGGCGCTCGCAACTGCATAAGGTCATATGAGCGCCAGAAGATTAGAGGGAGATGTTACAAGAGAGTAACAAACATAAAAAAAGGAGGGGAGATAAGGACGATAGATTTTTTAATGGAAAGAAGAACCAATTTGATTTTTTACCCGATTTCCCATCCACATATCCCCTTAAAATCTAAACAACACCTAAGGCTAGCAAATATTATAAAAGTAATGCCAGTCACCTCATAAAATTCAGTCACGAGTAAGTAGAGTTGCAGCTGAAAACATCTCATAAGAAATTGAAAGGAATATTTTTCCTACCTCAAAACACTGAAACAGCAAGCTAGTTAAGGAATATATTTTGCAATATTATTGGCAATTCAGACATTTAAGTGCTACAGTCTGTTGATCACAAGTGACAAAATGAGCTGTAAATGGGAATCCAATAGAGAATTTCACCATAAAAAAGGAAAGAGACCCCATGTCTGAACAGTAGTTGTGACAGCAAGACTACACAAAGGCTATGAGAATAAACATACAGCTGCTCTCCATACAGTATTTACGGCATCACTGCTTTATAATATAATTTTCACCATTTATTACGGTTTTTTAAATTTTGCTTTAAAAAATCTTTTCCTGCTCCATTCCCATGCAAACAGATTGGAATTCTGTGTGTAAGCAACTTTAACCCAAAAAACACATTATTAGCAACTTGAAAACTCCACTCAGAAAACTAAAAGAAATAAAAAAGAGAACCATTTCACTCCTCTAAATAATAAAAAAAAAACAACTGCCATGAATACTTAATAAAGCAGCACCCCCCCCCCCACCCACACACACACAATAACCCCCCCCCCCCCCCCACCAAACAGCTAATTACAGAATTTTAAGATAAATAAATAAATGCATAAAAATCACAGAAATAAGGAAAGTAGCCTACTACATGACATAAGCACTCGAGGAAATGAAAAAAAAAATTAGCTCAAAATGCATGCAAAAGAAGCAATTAAGAAAAAACTTAACAAAACACAAAATTCAACAAAATAGAACCACAAATCATGCTTTTTAGTCGTGAAAAAGAAACAAAAACAACAATAAACTGCTTAAATCATACAGAAAAACCTTTCTCTCTAACTGTCACCTTGAGAAGCCTGTGCACAACATGCAGCAAACGGACCTCTACCCTCAAGGGGGGTGAAGTCACTGCCAGTAGAAATACATGTTTATATCAAGGCAAGTACAGATTTCACCCAACGCATGTTCTATAAAGAAATTTAATTTACTCAGCTCAACTCAACAACAAAATTTTAACAGATCTGGTTTTTAAAAAAGATGTTATACAAAGAGATTATAATAGTACTAGAGGTCGCAGCTGCGACGTCACCCACATAAACTCACTATGGCTGTGCGGGCCCACCCAGCTCACTTACTCGCCATTTTTGAGAGGATTAGAGACAGTGCTGTCATGCTGTGCGTCCCTCGCAACCTTTCAGTTTTCATAGAGTTTGAAGCTCAGTTCAGTTTTATTTGAAGTATTCTTTTTGTTTGCTGTTGTTGTTTAATCATATAACATACATGCATACACAATACCGCACCTGCTCACCGATGGTGGGAAATATAAATGCACTTAAATGTGGGCAACAAACGAACAGAGAGATATAACATGAGGTATTGTTTGTTTTTCTCGGGTGGGGTGAGGGAGGCGCAAAGGGAGACAAAGTGAATAATTGAGTTTGTTAACCCTATCCGCATGTCGTGTTTTACTATCGTATCCATAAGACGTGGGGAACTCCGAGCCACCACTTTCCAAAGAGGAAATTTACTCGTTAATCTCATCCGTACGCTTTGCATAGCAGTCTGTCAAAATGATTTTTTAAAAGAAATACTGAAAGTGTCAAAGAGATCTTCGTACTAGAAGTATTCTAAAATGTGAAGAATACAACCCAGGGATACAAAATGACCCAAGGGCGTACGGATAGGGTTAAGAAAAATTTCATACTTACAAAATGGATTGCTTTTATATCATGTTGTCTACACTCTCCTTCTACTCATGCAAAGCCTAGGTCTTCATCATAGACTATGAAGGGGGTTAAGACTGGGTTAATCATTTATTATATGACTTCGTTATAGTCTCAAAATGAGCAATTAATTGTAGGCTGGGATACTGTAAATCACTCATTGAATTGAAAGGATCCTGTGTGCACACCCAGAGAGCTTTGTTTAATATTGGTCACAAACAATTATACTGACAACATTTTAAAAAGCAACCCTTAGATAAATAGCCGGTATATCTTAAACGTTCACAGTATTTTCTAAAATTGGCATTGATTGCCAATGGTGTTTGCCTACACAACACCACATCTTCCATGAATCCCTGCTGCTGCTGTAGCACATGCTGTTTGGATTCGGTTCCGCAAAGGAGACAGAATATTACGCCGGTCTTATTGGAGAGTCGTTACGCCTGGTTGGCTACTTTACATTCTCTCATCCCAACAACATCGCACCTTGTTGTGATCAGCGGTGTTAAATCTAGACATACAGTTTGAGCGACGCACAGCGAAAGTGTCCAATAAAATTATTTTTTTTATTTTAACAATTGATCATCAAGATCATTCATTTTTTCTGAATTTTACTAACCCGTATAGTCTCACTGTGTAAAAGGCTCTAGTGGTATTATTTGGATATTATCTGGCTCATTTAAAGGTAAACAATCACAAATATCATTATGAGTACATTTTAGCAAATCACATGAAAAAGAAATCAACATCTTCAGACTTCGCAGAGTATCATTAATCTGTGATTGAAAAGTAATGCTGAGCACCGACTGGCCTTTTATTCCTCCCCGGAATGGCCGCGCGCCCCTCAAGTTTGACACTCGTGACGTCGCAGCTGAAACCTCTAGATCTAGTTCTATTTATAACCTCTTTGGATGTTAAACCAGCCTATGAAACATGTCTTTTTAAACATTAAAACAGACACATCCTGACCGCCAATATGGTTTCTGGATACAACTCTCCTTTTCATCGGGATGGATACAACAACAAAAAGCCTTTGCCTGCACACTCTATATAAAATTTAAAAGCTTCGCAATACTATAACATGAATAGACCATTTTACGAAGAAAAAAAGAATGGAAATATACTGACAGCTGATACACAAATACTTCATAGTACAACACATACAGCACGAACAAGACGCAGAAAAGAAAGCAGTCTGTTGCAATGATTTCCTTCAACAACAAATTACTGACACCTTTGTAATATTCAATCTGACTCTCATCTGTAACCAATTGTTATTTTAGTACATGGAGTCTGTAGCTTGCACTGTATGCTTCCTGGGATTTCAAGTAAGTGTTTCCAAGTGTTTTACAGTCTGCTAGGCTAATGATATTTGTAAAGAACATAAGAAAAGCATGCTGTTGAGCGTGGCTAAGCGCATATGAATGTAAGTATTATCATTATCATTAATAATAATAAAATAATAATAATAATAATTGCACACGTATAATAATGCATATCCATGCTCTAAAGCATGCTTTATGCGCATTACAACTACATACTACACATATTATTACTTTCGCAGATATTAAAACACTCAGAAACATTCTCGTCCTCCCCGGAAGCATAAAGTGCAAGGTGCAGATTGCACATGTTCAAATACTAACAAACTGACAAGATTTTTCGCAGTCTACAGCCGGGCACCCATTCCTCACCTGAGATAGGTGAGTACAATTTATATAAATTGCCTTTCCCTAGGACACAACTTTGGACCTCTTGACGAGATTTGAACCCTGAACCTTAAGGTTGTGAGTCAGAGAGCCTAAATATATTAGGCCACCATCAGGTTCTCCTTAAGGATGCACTAAAAATAAATATGTTACCCTTGCAATACATAAGAGTGTATTGGCTACTAAAAAGGTTGGTTCAGAAGCAGCATCTTCCATTTTTCACAGAACCAAGCACAGAAGGCAGAGAGCCATAAAAACTGTAAAAAAATGACCAAAATCCAAGAGCACTCTTTTGATAATCTGAACCATAGTAGTAGCATGAACTGCTTGCCAACAACAAACTGAGCTACAGAGTTCTAGAGTATTTAATGAAATTGAGCACTATTTCAAAATAAGAAATTAGCATCACATCTTGAATTTGGAAGAAAAGATGAACTTTTCATGCCCATTCAATAACAAGCAAAAAGCTCCAACTAACTTCTACCGAGAAAGCTATAACGCACAAGACTAATTCTGAAATACTTGGTACAAGATCAACACCAGTTTTTCAATAAAGTTATCAGACAAACATGAAAGCACAAAATTTAGTCAAACAAACATTCATGTCAATAAGCTAAGGCTGTCTGCCAGTTAGCACATTGGATCCCTGCCCTTTTGTGGAGTAAAGAATATATACATATGCACCTCTCCCAATTCCCCTCATGGATCAATATAGTTTATTTATCCAGATGTAGAGGTTACAAATCAGCACCAGCTCCAACAGACACCAGAAACACAATAGTCACAACCTTTCTGACTTCTACAAACACAAAAACAGGACTAGGATAAAATGTCATCTAACCATTTCTAAAGTCATTGTTTGGTCACTTATAAGGACTGGCATCACTCAGCTAACCCCACTTCACACCACACAGAGGAAAGCTGCAGTTCATAAGTGAAAGAAAGAGCCCCCTAAGCTCAGTTACCATTTTTGTACTTTTTCTCTCTTGGCTCATTTTGTTTTGAGAGTATAGAATCTAGACTTTCTAATTTTTTGCATCTCTCAAGATTTATTGCTCCATTCCAGTAGAGTGTAAATATAGTAGGCCAATGACTTTCAGTTGATGTTAATGCACTGATCATTCCTTTCACCCAAAGGGGCCCAGCTAGTACAATATAACACGGATAGGTCGAACACAGAAAATTAGAGGGGGCTCTCGTGGCCAAGAGGTTAAGGTGGTCGCCTCTCATTCAAGGGTCACGGGTTCGAATCTGGGTTGCGACAGAAAAATTTCCTTTACTAAAATAGTCTCCTTTCACCTCCTTTCCTGATCTCTGGCAATGTTCTGTTGTCTGGTTTTGTCTCCACTTTCTGCCCCACCCCCTCACCTTCTTTGCCCTCTCCTCTGGACTCCTGACTCTTTTTGCAGCCTTTCTACAGCTATTCCTTTGCTCCTTCTTACTGATGTCTTTCTGGAAGGAAAGATCTACACTTAGCCTTCGCGGAGAAGGGCGAAAAATCTCAGAGGTCCCATGTGCAAGATGTGCACATTAAAGATCCCTTGGTGGTCCAAAATCAGTGAGTAGGCTTCGACCACCACCCGGGCAAAATTCAAAATTTCCTACCAACAGAAAATGTTTAATGTGTCCTGCACGCTCATATGACCTAATGCAGTTGCAAGCGCTGTAAAACACTTACCAAAAAACCCCAAAAAAAGAGAAAAAGAAAAGAAAAAAACAGAAAACTCGAAGTCACGAATGTCAGACTGTGCCTTTGCGGTTTCGTTTTCTTTTCTTCTTTATCTTTGTAAGATATCCTGCAAACTACCGAGGCAAGTCCCGATGAATTCGAGCTATCCGTGTTATACTGTATTATAAATCAAATAGTTTTAGGAAAGAAAGACAAAAACATAAAGAGAACTCAGTTAATAACCTGGAACTTAAATCAACAAAAGAAAAAAAAAAAAGAAAATCCTTCACTACCTGTCATCATCATAAGAGCTGTCAAGGTCCGAGTCAAACCCAGCATTGAGGAAGTCCTTCATGTCTTCAATGCTGTCAATGCCGTCTCTGGACACAGAAACACCAGCTCCATTTGGCACGTAAGACAAGGTAGGCGAGTAGGCAATGTGACTGTGGTTTGCCTCCGGGGAGGCATCAAGTTTAACTCTGTCCGTGGGAATAGCTATTGGCGACGATCTGAACTGAGTAGAGTAAGCAGACTGTGGGGGCGATTCTGGTGATTCTGACGAGTCAAGGGGTGAGGGGGAGGGCGGGGATGCTGGGGACTCCATGGGCGAGGCAGGGCTGTCCACAGGGGAAGCTATGGGCGCCGGGGAGGGAGGAGATTCGTCTGGCAACGACACTGGAGACGGGGCATCAAAGGGCTCCAGCGAGGAGTTTGTGAACGGATCCTTCTGCTGAGAGTCGGACATCGCAGGATTCAACAGAGTCTGGGGTTGTTGAGGAAGGACCTCACCAGGGGCCAGCCATGAGCCGAAGGCGAGGTTTGGAGAGAGCTGCCCTTTCTGTTCTTTGGAAGGCGACGACACAAACAATTTTGATGGAGATTTCAAGATAGACTGATGTTGTCGTTGTCCGTGAGAAGGCAACGGAGAAGTCATGGTGGTGGAGGCTGAGAGAAAAGCTGGATGTATCTGAGGAATGTGGGAGTGAGGCAATCTCATGTCCACATCCTCAGAGTCATTCTCCTCATGGGATGGGAAAGCACCTCTTTTCTTTGGAGAGTCAATACACATGGGAGCATCTGACACCAAGGGAGAAGACTTTACTGGATTCGAAGTGGTACCGGAGCAAAAAGGAACATTGCCGTTGCCAAGGGAATTCTTCACTGGTTTGGAACTGACTTGAAAAGAAGTATCCGAGAGACCATGGCAAGGTTTCACAGGTGTGGGGTCTGTCTTCGAGGTCGTATTTGACCGGCTGAGACAAGATTTTAAAGGTTTTGAGCTGGTAACTGGAGACGCAGTGGACAGGGAAGAAGATGACTTTGAAATTTTGGAGTTTGTGGGAACAGAAGCAGCAGTATGGCTGTGAGAAGACTCAGCCACAGAAGTTCTGGAACTATTGGGAACGGGCGAGTCTGAAAAGCTAAAAGACAATGCTGATGATATGGAATTGGTGTGACGGTAGAGATCTGTCGAGCTGGGAGAAGACTTGGTTTTTGAATTGGAGTCATGACAAGCAGCTATGTGGTTAAGAGAGGATGTCACCACTTCAGAACTAGTACACTTTGGGATGTCTGTGCATCCAAGCGATGGCTTTAAGGGTTTGGGTACGACTGTTGTTCCCACAATTGCTCGTGCCTGAGCAGGATTTGAAGATGAAAAAGGTTCTTTCACAGAGACAACAGGCTCTGTGGGAATAATTTTTGGTTGTAGTTTCGCCAGCTCTTGCCTGAGTTCATCTGCTTCTTTTCTGAGAACAGAGTCATATTTAGACTGGCCTGTATCTTTTCTGAGAGCTGGGTTTCGTTTTATCTGTTCCATCGGCTCGGTTGGAATTATTTTCGGCGTTGAACGTAGGTGGAGACTGGGGTCTTTGGAAGTTTTCTGTAAGTCTGAAGTGGAATGTGAGGACTTCAGTGATGATTTATGTTCTGGGAGTACAGGAGAGGCAGTCTTTGGGGTTTTGACCTTAAGAACTGAACTGGAAGTAGACAGGGCAGGTTTCCGAAGAAAAATAATTGCTTCCATTTGTTCATTGGTCAATTCATCCTCTTCACTCAGTTCTTCCTCTACAGTTTTTGTGCTGTGAAGAAGAGAGAACCTATCTTGCTTCCTCTTTTCAGCAGTTCTACGAGAGTCGGAAGAGTCTTTGGAGTCGGAATCCGACTCTGAAGAGCCATGTGGACTGAAGGAGGGCATTTCTCTCGCCCGCCTGGACATTTTCTGTTTTGGTTTGTGCCGTGAGCCCGGGGGGAAGTGGCTCTTCGACTTGGTGCTGGTATGAACAGCTGACTGGACAGCAGCGAAGACACGCTTCACATCTTCATCACGCCGCAGCTGTTGCTGGCTCTTGGCCACCGACAGTTTCCGGCAAGCACATGTGCCGAAGTTCACATCAGCGTCCATCAAAGACATTGCAGCAAACTTATTGTGAATACCCCTTTGACAGTCAAACATACCACGTAACTGGCGTACCGACAATTTTCCTTTCAATGATGATTTATTAGTCTCTTTGTCATCTTCAGAGAAATCAGAATCGTCAAACAGATTCTCCCAGGACGTTGCTCGTCCTAAGTTGTGAAAGACAACCTTCTTTTCCTTTGACAGCTTCTCTATGATATAGAAAAAAGAAGCAAAAAATAATAAGATGAGTCAAGAGATACAGCAATGTGTCTTTAAAACATTTTCTTTCTTTGAACACCATATTTCATCAAATAGAATTACTCCACAAGTCAGGAGCTGTTCTAAGTATGTTTCAAGCAAAGCTCATGATTAGAAAAAGCATCCGATTACGTTTGATACCATGTGGTATGATCATACTAACTCAATTTCCACACAGTAAAGGCTATATTGTCAATAAAAAGAATTTCTTACACTCTTCTTCTCAAAATCTACTATACTCAAGAAAAGATCAGCCTTTACGTGAATGCTTCAGTACTAACAGAAAGAACCGCTTACAACTTCCGCAAAACAACAATTAATGTTTTCTCTTCCCAAAAGCAAATAATTCTAAAAAAGAAAAAAACATTTCTTGTCTGAGGTTAGAAAATGTTCTCCCTAACATTTACCTGCAAGGATAACATCGAAACTGGTTACCACTTTAACTCTTCATGGCCAAAACAACATTGTCAGTGCTGTTCCTGTATGCTCACAGCGTTGTTACACATTTTGACATGTTCCTTTACACTATTTTGAGAATCTGAAATTTTTATCCAAGGGAATTTACTGCAAGAAAAGCACGCAAGTGTCCTTTTCAACTTTCATTTTTGGTGAATTGTACAGCTTGCAGCTTTACTTGAGTTTTGATTATTTTCTGTGTTTACAAATTGGTGGCCAAATTTTGCGAATAAGAGATTCCATAAACAATGTGTCCACAACCACGACCGTCTGGTGATTTAATTGAGTAAAAGGGTTTGTAACCCTTCAGAAAAAGCTAGGGAAATGTGTTTGTTCCGTGAAAATCACTGAAAGTGAGGCCTTGGTTGGTACAATTCATGTTAGGCCTTTGCAGGGAAGAAGCTGACACCAACGGTAATACCGGCTCTGGGAAGAAGCCGACACCAACAGTAACACCGGCTCTAGGAAGAAGCCGACACGAACGGTTAGTACCGGCTCTGGGAAGAAACCGAAACCAAACGATTTTATTTTATCTGGCTACAGGAAGTGTGCAGGCCTAGGCCTACCTTAGTCCTAGCAGCTGTGACGTCATATGCACAAAGCAGCGGGTGACCTTGATACATGACTTCATATTCAAAATTGACAATCAAAAACTTAGTTTGCTTAAATTAAAATATAGCATCAAATCAGGTTCTACACGAGCCACTTTGCTTATTTTGATACCCTGATTCCGAAAATGAAATCAATTTTTAGCGGAGATAGTTATTTTCAAAATTCAGCATGCAAAGTTTAATCCCACGCGGCGGCAAGCTTCAAAGGTATTTTGCGTCACAGTTCACCTCTCTAATTCTGACGTGTGTGTGGGAAGGGGGGGGGGATATAAGTGGGCGGCGCTGATCGTGGCGTTAGATGCAAGACGTTAAGTCTGTGACCTCACCTCCTGGTGTCACTCCAAGTACCGGTACCGGTACTGGCGGTTCTCGGTACAGACACTGGGTTGCGCCTGTAGGCCCAGCACTACCGTGTGGTGAAATAGTGGTTGCATTAAAAAACTGCAGCAAAGTGGGGGAAAAATACTACAGCCATGAAGAGTTAAGAGAAAATAGTATACAGCAACATTTAAAAAATGACATGCCTTTTTAGTTATAAATCAGGAAGAAAAAAGATATTTCACTTACTTTTCTCAGCTTTGATTGTAGAAAATTTTGACATCAAGACGCAGTGAAGCACGGGAGCCCTGTCCTCAGAGCGAGTGAAACCTGTAACAAAAGATATTATTAAAATTAATTATAGATTGTTTTGTATGTTAAGAAAAAAAGAAGCTCACTGACATTATATTTAAATGGCAATTTTAGTGAAGAGATAAAGCAAGACAGAAAAAAGAAAGATAGCAAAGTGGAAGGGCCTACCAGCAGTACCCTCCATCACCTGCAACCATTGAATGTTTGTTGATATGACTTAAAAAAGGGACACTTTGAAATGAATATCTTCACCAAACGCTGGGAAAATGAACAAAAAGAAACACAAGATGGACTGTAGTGTAGGAAGTAGGACTAGAAATTTTGTCCTCCAAAAACCCGTAAAATGATCATTGTTTGTCAGTTTTATTACCAATACTGCTAGAAATGTAACAGTCTCAGCAGAACAACAACAAAGCATGACAGAAAGGAAAGAAAACACAAACAACTGCAACTTAAAACCAAGAAAAAAATCACAAACAAATACAAAACAAGAGAGAAAAATTAACAACTTGAAAGATAAGAAGTGATCGCGTCTTTAATTTTCTTACCTAACTGCGAAGACAGCAAGGAGTTGGGCATAAGGAACATAAATACATCATTGGGCAGTCTGACTGTTGGTATCTGTATGGAAAAAAGTAAACAACATATAAATTGTACTAACATTCAAGTTTCAACTTATATCTTTAGATTTAGATAGGACAATCAGATTTGATATGGACTAAATGATGCAGCACTTCCATTAACTAAAAAGTGGTGATGGTGGTTGTGTTTGCAAAGGCTAGTTCAAAGGGGTCTCATGAGATCCCACACAAGTTTTATAGCCTGTGTTCAGTCCCCGCACTAAGGTAAAAAGACTCTTCAAACAAATCGTGTTATTTCTTTATTTCCTACCTGAAAATCAAGCTATGGAAAATGATCTTGAACCACAAATGGGCAAAAGCATGACAGATTAAATAGAAACAATACAGAGATATTGAAGATATTAATTAAATAACATGCATGAGCGCCTGGAGAAAGGGATGAGAAGTTGGCCAATATCATTTAGAGTTAGAGCTAAAGGCTGATAAAAATAAAAAATTGATTTTTTGACCAAGACATGTTTCCATTATTTTTTTTAATCCAATAATTCCACCATTTATGAACTGGGATTCAAAAGGATTTCATTCATCTGACTTCTTAGTATTTCATTAGAACATTTTTTGATAGCAGGGTATTCTTTTCAAAAAATTGAAAATGACTTTAAAAAGGTGGCAAAACTCAAAGTTTGGGGTCTGTCTCCTCTTCTCCAATATCACACTTCAAGAGAAGTAGAACCCCATAATGTTTATTGTAAAATGTTCACTGGGATCTCCCCCACACTATCTGCAGCAGTTCCCATGAATACAATTTCTGTCAGCAAAAAAAAAAAATCTCATTATTAACATATCCCTACCCTATGTGCCATTTTTTTTGCCTTCATGATGCACTGTGTTCATACATATTTAAGCCAGTTTTCTCAAAACCTTATCTTTATACCCTTCCTCACAAAACATGCAATATCTGCACTATAGAGTTTCCCATTAAAAACCCTGTAATCTAGAAAATGTAAAACTCTTGACTTTTAGAGCCTTTTTTCAGGCACACACATAAAATACCAATCTGTATGTTGGTTTAACCAGGCTTGCCAACTTTTGAGATACTGAATTCTGGAATTTTGATTGCGCTGGAGCGCCACAGACACACACTTCTGTGATAGGCTACTTAAGCTACTAAAAAAAAGCACCCACACCACAAAATCAGCTCAAACAAACCAGTGGAGAAACAGAGAGAAAGATGCCGTTTCGGGACAGGTTCGGGAACGACGATAGCAATTCGGGAATTTTCCGAAAAATTCAGGAAGGTTGAAACGCCTGTATAACAGGTTGGGACAATAAAACTTAAGAAGGTCGAAACAAATAACTGAAAGAATACCTTTTAGGTCACAAAGAAATCTACTCATAGAGTTCCGTAGGGAAAAACAATGAATAAACAAGAGACATGTTCACTGACAAAAAAAACCAACTCATTGCCACCTATGGTTTTTGTTTGTGACATGCACTCTCAGTGCCCAACAAGTAAACATCCTTTAAGGCACAATAGCACAGAGGGGGACTTTTTTGCACAAAACAGTACAGCGATGTAGGAAATCAGAAACATGATTGTCCCTCACCTCTCGTTTGGTACTTATGTGCTTGACTAAAGCCTTGAAATGCTCCTCGTTGTTTGATCTGGGTCGCATCAAGCAGGAGCGGAAGTAGTGTTCTCTCCACTCTACTTCCTCTGCTTGGGAAATGTTGGTCAGTCCCGCAAAAAATGTGAATTGTGCATTGTGCTCTGGGTAAAGAGCATGAATTTTGATTGGAGAAATCCTGTAGAAACAAATGAAAAATTTCATTAGGACCAGTCGGATTTGTGCTGAAATTTGACTTTTGTCTTTAAAAAAAAAAACAACATTTTCTTCCCTTACACTTACACCCCTAAATCAAGTACACTGTACTTTTTCAGAGTAAAAAAGACTATGCAACACATTTGACTATTTGAACACCACGCGATAACCTCCAGCCAGCAACAATCTTCACGGCAGTAATGAAAGGGAAAGAAGATTTACATTTTCTGATCGAGACTTCACAAGTCAAAACTGATACATGTCACTGTTTCAGCCCATTTTTGTAAATAGGTATTTTGTTTCGTCTCGTCTTCTCCTTTTTCGTGTCATTTATCACCTTGAATGGACTAAACTATTCCCATTGGCTAGTCCATCAATAGGCTCATGAGACAGACGGCAAATTCACCAAAGCTAAGCTCGCCACAAGATGAAAACTTCACTCCCTTCTCACAATCAGAATTTGAAACAGCAAACAGATACCCCAACAGAAATGAAAATACTGATATCATTACTTTGTGTTTTCATTGTATGAAGATCAATACTGACTTTTTCTTGTCTGTCCAAGGACTCAAGGATTTCATCTTTATTTCTAGATCCCTCATGATTTCCTGGGCCCGGTAGTCACTCAATATCAAGAAGTTGACCATATATTTTTTCAAAAGAGGAAATCTGCAAAGTTTTACAAAACAAACTTCACTATCATACTTACAAGTTGACAGTGAGAGGCACAAAGTATGAGAATATGGAGACTTCAATGTAGATGTGGCCCCCTTCTGTCAGTCTCACATGCAGTCTGCCTTTCCACACTTCGTTGCTGGGACCTGAGTTCTGAGCAGATGGAGACTCTAAAGAAGCTGCAGTTGAACTGGGGACCTGATGACCCAGCATGGAAGACTGCTGCAGCTGAGGCAAGCTGTGTAGACAAAGGCAGGATCAAACATGAGAGTAAGTATCTATCTGATCATAAATAACACATCTCATGGAAGGATGGCACAACCAGAGACGAGGTGAAATAATAATAATAATAAAAATAATAACAATATCAACAAAAACGATTAATAATAAAGACCACTTCTTTAAAGCCAAATCCATGGTGGCTCAAAGCACTTGACAATAAAAATAAAATTTAAAAATTTGACAGCTTACACAACGACATGTTTTATGCCCATGTATCAGTCATTCAAAGTACAACAATCTGTTCAAATACATCAGCACCCGTCATCTGACAAAAGAAAATATAAATAAAAAGACAATCACTATGGCTGATGATCATATTTGTTGAACAAAGAATCAAACTAGCTAACAAAATAGGAATTGAATGTGTCTTTACACTAGGAGCCTCTCTTAAATGCAGTGGGATGTAAATTCACACCAAAGGAGCAACTGTCGAAAAAACCCTACCTCCAATTTTCTGAAATGAACAAATGATACTCATTATGATGTCTTTATCACACCACTTGGTCTTTACAGAAAGATTAACAAGGTATTTTAAAGCTAGACATTGAGGTTAAGGAAGAATGCCAAGCTAGAATATATTGAGAGACAATTTTAGTTACTGGTCTTTCATCTTTCTGCGTTTATTCACTTACTGATTTATTGAATTCCTATGACTGTCACAGGTTCATTCTTGATTCAGTGGATCATCTTCTTTACGTCAATAAGTTAAAAGTTTCACATTCTCAATCTTTGTTTCAGTAAAAGTTTTACGGCGCTCGCAACAGCATAAGGTCATATGAGCGCCAGTTTCTCAATCTTACAGTAAGAAATAATATACAGCTAAAAACACATTTCTAATCCAAAAATGTATGAAATATACAAATCTCTCTTGCTAAGGGAGCACCTAACAATAAATAGCAACAAGACACACAATAAATAGCAACAAGACACACCACGTGACAAAAAAAAAAAAATCTGAGACAATTTCTTTTACCCGCCCCCTCCCAATCCCCCCAAAAATTAAAATTACAGGGTCCTGAAACCTATTTAAACTATAAATGTCCAGCATTCTGCCATTACCAAAAAAAAAAGTCAAATGCATTGCTCTTACTTTGACATAGGCTTTGGCATCAGTTGAGGGTCAGTGACTTTGTAAGACACAATGGCATAGGGCAGTACTTGCCGAGGGTAGTCTTCTAAATCAAAGTCCCCGTACTCGTATACATATAGCTGTTGAAATAAAATTGCAGCAAATTTTTTATTACACTATAACAAGTAGGTGAATGTTTGTACTTTTATGAAATTATAACAATCACAATATGCCTGCTTATCTCATTTCCAGAAATCTCAAGCACAAAAACCTATCATATATTGTAGTCAATACAAAATACTGAAGGCAAGAATTCAAAAGGCACAAGTTTTGTGACAGACATGTTTTTCAAAAGGCTGAAATACAGACGATCAATGAGAACAAATGCATAAATTATACTATATTCCTCCCAAAGTACAAGGTAGACAATTCAGACTTGAAAAATATCTGAAAGCAGATGGAAGGAAAAGGTGAGAAAAAAGTGGAAACAGACAAAAACTTTCCAGTGATCACCAATCCTTAAACTGCGGATTCCAAAGATCCATGGAAGATAATCATCTGTGCAAAAAGAAGCAGACAATATGGTCACTACCAGAGCACTCACCAACCACCACTCAAAGACACAGACAAAACATCTTACCTGTGTTGAGTAGAAAAACATGTGGGGAGCGAGATTGGCAGTCTGGTCTACATTGGTTTTGGCCACGTGGCAATCACAGTTTGGTGTGGGCTCCAGCTGTGCACTAGTGTTCTTACACAGCACTGTCTTCACTTTACCCTGCAAACAGATTACTCAGAGTCAAAGGCATAATCTTTTACAAACCAGAAATCAGAGCAATAATGTGCACAAATGCTTGTCTAGTGAAGGAAGGACAAATAACTGTTAATATTTTACATGTTGCTTGTTGCTCAAACCAGTAACAGAACTGACACACACACAAAATTTTTACTCCAATTTCCAGGATCTATCAAACTTTACCTAAGGGAATGTGAGCTCTGCATTATATAAAGGCAAAAACAAACCATGAACTCTATTGAGGAAAGCATATGGGAAAAAAAATTTGATAAACAGCTAGTGGGTATTAAGATTATGCCATTAATAAACGAGAGGGGGCATTCTTTACGGGTTCTTTATCGCCTCCAGGAATGTCTCACATGAGAAAACCCTAAATAAGACAGAAGAAACAAAATTCACTAATTACCTTAACAACTTTGAACACCAACATCATTCTCTCTCCAGGTTTTGGCTTCGAAGGAGTTACAACATCAGCGTGCTTGCATAAGTGGACAGCTATGTTCAAACAAGACAATGAAAAAATATAGTAGAGCACTGAAAGTTTGATTGAAAAGATGGAGCAACTCAAAGAAATAAATTGGGTTGATTTATATATCTATCCAGAGTACAATTTCAAAAAACGTTTTGTAACGAACAGGTAAGGACAATAATAATGAGGAAGGGAACAAGAACGAAAAAGAGAAAACCACCTCGAAGCTCCCACAAACTCATAAAACAATAGCATGAGGTAAAGTGGTGGAAAAGGAGAGTAAAATGCCAGGACAGCACCACAACAACATGTTAATATATCAACTGTGGCTTGTGACGTACCCATACTGGGAACTCCAAGAGCAGAGGTTTGCTGGTTGCCACAACGTAGGCCTTCTTTACAGATTTTTTCTGCCTGAGGACAATGAAATTAGTTTGTTATCAAAACTCTCCAAAGACTCTGACAAAACTTCATAATTAACAATAAGCTGCACAAAACGCCTAAATCTTCAGACTAAACTGAAAAGATCCAAAAACACATCAAACAGTTGAACAAAACCCTCGGCAACATAATGTTGAATGATTGGGGGGCGGGGGGATGGGAAAGGAAAATATATCAATATGAAAACAAGCAAAAGAGTGCACAGTAAAGAACAATAAATCTATTACTTCTGCCTGGTTTGCCATTTTTAAAGGAAAAAAATCAGTTAAGTAGGCTTTTTCACATGTTGTACACAACTTACTGGACATAAAACCTCTCTCGAAGGTGAATTCATGAGTACAAAACACTCCTTATCTAGTAGTAAAATTATTCAGAAACATTATACACATTTCACTTTTTGCTATACAAAAGGCCTGTTACTCACCATGGCTGAGCTATCAACAGAAACAAATGCATAAGTGTCTGCAACAATAGCATCGGGATATCCATTGCTTTTCATCTCTTTCCTTCTCTCAAGATACTGAAAGTAAAAGAGTATAAGATAAACCCACTTATGTGAGTATTTTCATCTTCCCGCTGTGATGTTTCTTCAGCTGAGTAAAATAACTATCCTCTTTATGATAGGACATGGACAAAATGCTCCATCTTCTTTCTTTTGGATTTTGTTTTCACCTGTTTCCTGATTTCAACTGGATGCACATCTTACAAATGCATTTTACAGAAAGATAGAGAAGAAAGAGCCAGATCCTCTAAAGAAATGAGATAAGAATTTGAATCGACTAACATAATTTGTATGTGTCATTGGGTCATACAGAACAATGCCAATGGCAATTTTTCATTACTCAAACTCTTTCACAAAAGTAAGTACACCAGTTATAACATGGACTTTTCAAATTATTCCCAAACAACTGTGAAATTCAATCAGTGTGTACAATCAATGGAAATCCCAACTAAAAAATGAACAATTTCACATAAAATTTGTGAACGTCCTGATCCACTCACACTACACTCTTTCAGAGGAACACAAATCATGTTAACACTGACCAACATATTTGTGAAAGCACAGCAATGAAGTATAAACATATAAACAAGTTCAGACACACAAGAGCCATGGAGTCATCTTCGTTATAATTTTATCAATTTCTGGGTCTGCAAAGTCACAACTATAGCAATTACAACAAAAACTATTTCCAGATGACTCCAGAATCAAAAAATGCGACAAACCTTTCCTGTGAGTTCAGGGTTATGGACTGCTTGTACTTTCAAAAATTCATAACAGGTGTTTGAATCCCTGAAGTGGAAACTTTTCCGCACAACTGCCAGAATTTCATACTGACACTCATGTGAATCCAGCTGAAGATTTGTCAATAAATCTGGAGAGGTAAAAACATCACAAATAAAAACTAATCTTTTCATGACAATGTATGATACAAACACACTGTAAGGAACATAAATTGCGATTTTATGAATCAGCTCTTACAACCTTCAAAAGAATGTTTGTGATACTAAGACCCAATTGGATTTTATATTCACGCTGATTAACTCTTTAGTTTTGTATCCAATATTATATTGTTGTGTGTGTGTGTGTGTGTATTTCAACCCTGGTAGGATATTTAACTCACTCAATGCCGCGGGTTTTTCCCGAAATCAGAAACCGGTCATTTGGCACTTATGTAAGGGCCAACTAGTAACCATACATATCATCCAATTGCTTTGAAATTCTGCACAAAGTACAACCTAAGATGGACCTTTGGACATACTCAATTTGAAGTTTGTAGCTTTAGTAGCTTTGCTTTGGGGTGTCATACAAATTTGGCATTTTTGGGGGCTTAAAAAAATTTTTCATGGCCGAATGAGCAAGAGCAAGCCTATATTGGTATTCAAATATATATGCTTGTGAGTGTCTAGATCTATATATAGTATGACATCCTGTATAATAAAGACTGTCGAATATTTTTCATGAATAAAAGAAAATGTATGTGTGAGAAAGGCAGAGAGAATCGATTGCAAGACATGCTCAGCTGATCAGTGTGAACAAAAGTGCTGAAAGTGCCTTTATAAAAAACATGATTTCTCCGTGTGTAATGACAGTAGAAACAAAATTCCAGCACTCCTCTAAGCAGAATTGGCTGGGGAAACAGTAAATTGACCTTATTTAAAACTTCCGAAACTAAATAACTAGTAAAAGGAACAAAACTATAGAACTGAGTTATCTCGATTGTGTGATTGGGCACAGCCTGCGAGCTGACCGAGAGGATTGAGCGAGTTAAAAGAACCCCCAAATTTAATTGCCATCTCAAACAGGACTGAGTTAAGTTACTGGGGAGCCTTAAAAACTCTAAAAATACAACCCAGATTCAAGACCATCAAGATGGACTTGAACCAGTTTCATCCGCTATTACATAAATACTGATAAATCTACAAACCAGCACACAATTCAAAGTTCTGTCATCTCTCAGAAGGTAACAACAAAAGAATGATAAGAATAGAGACATATTTCATACCTTAATATTGCTATCTAATTTTACTATAACAACAGTCTCTGCCTAAAGCCACACAGATCAGGAAGATGTGATTGGTCCATGAAAATTATAGGCAATAGAGTAAATTTCATTAAAAAAGACAATCAGGGTACATTATCATAAACGTTGGAAACTAACAATATTACATGGTAAAATGATTGCAAGAGAAAGTAGCATAGCAATGCAGCTCTAGCTGAATTTTCCCAGTAAAGTTGGGATGAGAGAGTCAATGTAACTGAAAGAGCCCTGACAAAATACAAACAGGGTTGAAGAGTATTCAATAATGAGATATGAGAACCACTGTACACTGTACTTAATAAAAATAATGTCTTGATGACAAAGTCCTGCAAAAACCATGAAATCAAAGCATAAAAGTCTTCTTTTCTTCTATCACCATAAAGTAGCTCTACTAAAAGAACATAAATGAGTAAGAAAGCTTGGACCATGCAACAAGGAGAATTTGAATCATGCAAAAGAGATAAAGTTAAAGAAGGGTTTGCAACCCCAGTCTGATACTTACAGTACATGGAAATTGCAAAATATTACCTACCTCTTTTTATCTTTTTCAACTTTGGTAAGTTGAATTGTGGTAGTCTTGTAGCAGGCTTTCTTTTCGAAGGGAAAGCTTCCATTTCGAGGTGATACAATATTCACTTTGTCCTTGGACTGGCAGCATTCATCCTCCAGGGCAAGCACAGCCCACAAGAACACAACGCACTCTCAATTAAGTGATCCTTATCTTTTTGAATGACACAGAAAACAACGAAATCTGTGTATGAGTTAACTGAACATTACAGGTTGCAGAGAGTGTCAACATAACAGGTACACAAGAAGCACATTTAAGTCAGTACTAACAATTAAAAATTGTCTTTGATACAGCATTATCAGAAGCAACATGTGCAGACTGAAGCTAAGGGTTGCACTAGTGATGATGGCCATACATCACGCTATGCAGCATCATACACGAGGTTGTGAAAGTCATCCCTCATGTGGTGTGCAGCGCAATGCAAATAGGAAATGTATAATTATAACATTACAACATTTGACATTTGGGTCTTTATCATTTTTAATTTAAATGCAACAAAAAGTAAAAATATTTCATTATAATGTAAATTTGACAAAAAAATCAAGATTCCAGCATCTTCTTCAAATGCCAGATCTAACTAACAGACATTTCTGTGAAAATGGTTTGCTACCCAGTCCCTTCCCTGCCTAAATGCTCTCAAAAATCCTGTCAAACAAGATTATAATCCTTGGCTTTTCATATCACCCATCCGTTCAAACTTTAATTAAGCCTTAGCCTTCGGTACTTGTTAACCGGAACCTCCCGAAAACAAACCATACCTCCCAAAACCTCAAAATTTCTATGATATGATGTCATTTGATCTGCTATTTATCGCTCTGTGGATAAAATATTAATCTGTAATGCAATATCATTGTATATTTGGATATTTCTTGATCCTGAATAAATTATATTAAAAAAAACAAAAAACTGGGAATAATACTGTCATAACTCAACATCCGACTCGATTAAAGCCAAAAATAAACCTTTCGTCGCTGAATTGCATTGTTTACAAGAGATGCGATGGTCTCTAAACTATTTCGTTACAATAGATGTTTCATCTCCTTCCACTGAAAATAGACAAATTCTCCAGCAAAAGCAATCTCTTCAACTCAAACGCAAGAAGCCAGAAATGACTCGTATCTCAAGAACGAATGCTCAAGTGATGAACCAGGGAAGACAATTGAATCCTCTTACAATCAACCTCAATCACTAGAGCCGCCTGACGTTTCTTTCGGCCTTGAATACCTGTCTGTTTCAAATGAAACTACAGATGAGGCCAGATCCAGTAGTATGTACAATAATGCAGCAGCTGCCAAACAAGAATTCCTGCCACTGGATGTTTTGAGGCAAATTATAATCACAGGGCTCCCCTTTACGCACAAATGTGCGTATATTACGCATTAAACCTGCAAATTACCCCCTTTAAGCTTTGGTTGTGCGTGAGCTTTACTCTTTATAATTTCATTTCGGGGGTTTGCGTACACTTTAAAACGTAAGTGGTGTGCGTCTGGCAAGCATCATTTCCCCCCTTCTCTGTCCCAAAGCGGAGTCAATGATTTGACAACACATCCACACACATGCCCAACAGTCACTTTCTGTGTCAGAAGTCGACTTGTCGACCTACTTAAAGTTAGTACTTATCAGCTGAGCGCAATTTCCAGTCGCTCACATTTGCCGATGTCGTGGCTTGAGTTGACCCCTGCCGAGAGATTACATTATCCCCATCCTTCTTTAACACACTAGTAGACATGTTGTCCGTCATCGAAGGTGTGGAAAGACTGGAATAGGAACCCTGGGATGGCTCTGAAGGAATCAGTTTATTTTCCAAACCTGCCACTCATCCCTGCCCTAAATCTCAAGCATTTTCCCGATTTTGATCGCGTGTACCCTGGGGTTGTTTTTTTTTTGTTGTTTAATTTTTTTTTTGCTCCGCCTGTTACGCCGGATTTTTCTACAATCTTACTCTTGCCTTCTTTTCTGTTTGTAAGCACGTGTTAAACTTTTTGTCAGCAGAAACTCGGAGCGCTGTTTTCCGAAATGTCTATGTCGAATTTAGTTGTTGACTCACCAAAAGTTGTCTGGGATTTGCTCATACGTGTTATTTCAACTTTAATGGATTGGAAGTAGTGTTGATTGTACTTTAGACATTCTCAAGATCTACTTTCGCCAAAGGCAAAAAATGCTTTGCCCGAGTTCTGGTTAGTCGGGACCGTCATCAAGACCCTTCAGTAAAACTGTTTCAATCGTGCGATCGCACCACATGACATGACTTCGGCGCGTGAGCCTCGCATGTACGGGGTCAATTTAAGTTTGAATGCACACCGGTTGAAGCGTCTTTCGGGACTTATCCGGGGGGGAGGGGGGCGCATAAAACACTTGGACTAGGAGACCTTGACATGATACTTCAGGATAAAACAGAAAAGATAAAAACACACACATGCACGCGCTCGTGCTCACACACACACACACACAAACACACATACACACACACCACACACACGAACGTGCGCAGAGGGAATATACATGGATATAATATTGGACATCCCTGGAATTTTTTTTAAGTCAGCTTGGCAATGACCTAGGTGATTTGTCGTTGATCCCGATTTTTTTCACCAAGTCCCAATTTTTTTCCCCACTGAGATCCTGACTTACTAGATTTCATAGAGTGACAGGTCTATTTTTCTTGGAGTATTATAGTCGGAGTTGACCCCTTTTGGTTTGTCAACTTTATTTTATTTTTGATAGACCCAACTGCTCTATCATTACCACTCTTCCCCCTTCTAAATGGAGATAACTCTAAATCTAGTCAATATTACTCATTTATTTCTTCAGTTAATTAAAATCGTTTGCGTTCAATCATAGTCATGGTCGCTCTAGGTGTGTCTGTGTGAATGTGCCTGTGAGTTAAATGTTTGCAAGCAAAAATTCTTATTGAAAAATTACGAAATATTGACTTTTACCCTTTAAGTTTCTAAAACAAGGGTTTGTTTTGTTTTTTTGTTTTTGTAAAGTGTTTTACGGCGCTCGCAACTGCATAGGTCATATGAGCGCGCGGGACACCCCTAATATTTTCAGTTGGTAGGAAATTTTGAATTTTGCCCGGGTGGCGGCCGAAGCCTACTCTTATCGATTTTAGACCACCAAGGGATCTTTAACGTGCGCAACTTGCACACGGGCCCTCCGAGATTTTTCGCCCTTGTCCGAGAAGGCTAGGTGTAGATCTTTCCTACCAGAAGATCAGGGGTGTGGCAGAAAGACAGCAGTAAGGAGGAGCCAAGGAGTAGCAGTAGAAAGGCTGCAGAAAGAGTCAGGAGCCCAGAGGAGGGGGCAAAGGAGGTGAGGGGGTGGGGACAGAAAGTGGAAATGAAAGCAGACAACAGAACATGGCTAGAGAGCAGGAAAGGAGGTGAAAGGAGACAATTTTAGAGAAGAAAATTTTTTGGTCGCTACCCGGATTAGAACCCGGGACCTTTGAATGAGAGGCCAACACCTTAACCTCTAGGCCACGAGAGCCCCCTTAACAAGGGTTTAAATACCCCTTAAAATAGTAAAACAAAGGGTGAAGGAACCTCTTTAGTTGGCCTGAAAAGGGGAGCCCTGAATCAACAGCACTTTTTTTATAACCGTGGAGCTTGGGGATTGAAGGGGACAACCAATAACACATTATATCTCAAGAAAAACAACCGTCTAAAAAAAGGTTGTCCTCAAGCACAATCAGTACTGTCTAGAGAGGAGCGAGAACAAGAAGTATTCGTACACAATCCAACTCTTTGCCGCTATTATTACGTAAAACACTCTCAAAATGAAGAATCCACATACGAGAAACGAGTCTCTTGGATAGACAAAACTGAAGGATCAGCCATACCATGCTATGAATACAAAGGTATGTATCTATTCTGAAGGTCGGCCACACGATAAAAACACAAAGTCAATCCTGAAAATTATATACAGCTGCATCCAAAGGTTCTAGAAACAATGAAAGAGGAGCTGAAAACGGAATGACCAACACACGTATACCTCGACAGTGACAGAGAACCTGATTTGATGCCATATATTTAAACTTAAGCAAACTTTTGTTTTCGATTGTCAATTTGGAATCGGAAGTCATACATATAAAAGGTCACCAGCAGCATTCGTTGTGCATCTGACATCACAGCTGCTAGGCCTAGGCCTACACACTGCACACTTCCCGGGGCAGGTAAAAAACCGTTGGTGTCGTTCCTTCCCAGAGCCGGAACTGGAGGCCTGGTACCGGTACTGACACCTCCTCCGGTAGAACCGAGAGTTTTGGTACTGGGTACCGGTATCTGCCCACCCCTAATAGAAATGCAAAGGGAAACTATACCTCCCTTCCATATCAATAAAATTTGCGCTTTAGTTGTTAGATCTCTCTTCCTTTTCTTGTCAACTTCGTTATTTATCTCGGTCTTTCATTCGAGTGAGAAGCATTTCCTTTTGTCTTTGTTGGAAGCCATCTTTTCCTCGGCCTTGTTGCTTGTGCTGTCTATCGTACCGGTAGGCCTACTGTAGAACTGGTGAAGTGGATGCATGCGTATGCCTGAGCATCGACGATCGCAATTCAATGATTCAGAAATCACATACTACACGCTCTCCTCTTCTTTTACTTTTAGGCCTAAGGCACATGAACATCACTTTTGGATTGGCTCACGTAACGCACTCTCCACACCATCTCTCTCTGCTGCTTGCCCCACCTCACTCATTGATACTGGACGGGCCAATCACAACACCGCACCACTGACTGCTTGTTTGGAGATGGCCTACAGCCCCCCATTGCCCAAACCACTTCCCCCAGTTAGAGCTCGCTCGATCTCTCCTGCGGTATCCAAGTTCGGGATTTCTTTGCCCCCCTAACCGAAGCATAAGTAATTGAGTTTACATTGTAAAAAGGGGAATTCCGGTAAAGTCTCGCAGTAAGGATGGTCCCGCAGCAGTGGGTGCCGCTATAGTCATGCTCTACTGTACAAAAAATATCCAAGTAGTAAGAAATAGCCTAGCTAGGCTTACAAATGTCTAATTTTTAAGGTCATCTTTGACCTTGACCATGAGATAAAAAAAGACATGAAATGACCAAAGCAAAGTGGCCTCACACAACATGGTGAGTCACACAACACGATACTTCTCTGTAGAATGAGGGTGGACCTTGACTCTAAGACTACGAGCCCATTTACCTACCCTGTACGTGTAGACACTCCGTTGTATAAATAAGATCTAGATCTAGACCTAGATACATTATTTTCTTAGATTTAGATCTAGATCTAGATTTCTAGACTGTCCTTCTGTTTTTCTTTAGATCTACTTAACTAGAGTAGATCTAACACACGCCGTTAAACATAGAAGACGCATCTTTCTGATTGGCTGCTAATTTTAGTAATGTGATGTCATCACTTCCTGGGATACCCACAGACTCCGTGGAGGTTCCGCATGGAATGATGTGTTTTCGGCAACATTTCAGATTTCCTCGATCTAGATCTAGTTCTAGTACTTGGACAGGATGGAAGATCACTCAGATCTAGATCTATATTCTAGATCGTTGATGCTCAGAACAGTAAGATTAAGAACGCTGATGCTTGAAATTGAAACACGGTAAACGCAAAGACAATATACCGCACGAAAATTGCAGTAAAGACGCTGGAGGATTAGGATATAGATCTAGCCCCCCCCGGTAATCCGGCGTTCTTCATCACTAATATATACATTTTTTTTAAACAAACAACTACAAAGCAACAAACTATAATTTATGGGACAAACTGTTAGTCAGCCGGGAGGAGAAGAGAAAAAAAAAGGAAGAGGCTAGCCTTACTTAATGACGGTTAGACTGGCAGTCTAGCCGTACCTGCAGTCCAGCCATACTTATTCTCAATATGATGGCTAGACTGACCATTTAAAAAACGAAGTGTATACAGATCCGGTAACCGGGAACAAAGTCACGAAGTATACAGACCCGGTAGGGGAACTCTTTTGTGATTT